ATGACAATAACATGAAAACAAGTAACCTTTAAGATAAAAAATTATAAGTGCACTAGGTCATCAATATTACTTGGGATATTAAGTTTTTGCCATACATTGTCTAACTTCAATACCCTGAGCAATTTTAAGGTGCGTTTGTTGCACTGGATTAATTTCAGAGACTAAGCTGGATTTGCTTGACTTAAACTAAGTAGAACAAAAATAATGAAATGTTTGATGCAATACTAGACTATATCCTAGACTAAATGATGAAAGAAAACAAAAAGTGATCAACAAACTGAATTTTTGGTCTCAGACACAGAAAAGTATTAAACTACTACAAGCTTAAATCACACAAAGGTCACATCAAAATTAGAAAAAAACTTAATCACAGAAAGTTCACATCATGGACAGCAATCACTAACAACAATTTAGCCATGAATATGTAAGCACATCATAGACAGGATTGGGAGGTCACTGCATAGACAGGATTGGGGGGGGGGGGGTCTCTGGGAGGGATAATCCCCTCTCTCTGATAGTGATGCACAAATCACACATCGCGTTTTTCTCATCACCTGCTCCAAATGACAACAAAAAAAACATTTTAAACAAAACCCATATACCCAAAACTCAAATCACCCATGCAATCCGTACCTTTTCTGAAAATCACAAGAAAGATGCAAAATTTTCTAACCTGATTGAGCTTCTGCAGAGATGGGCATGGCCGCATGGCCGAGATACTCCCACAGAGAAGCGGGATTCTGATCATCCGCAGATGCTGCTAATTTGCTGAGAGTCATTGCATGTACAATAACAAGGAATGGATCTTAAGGGCTTCAAGTTTGTAATCAGAGGGGAAAAGAAGAACCCAGAAAAGGGTATTGAGAAAAAGGTTGAGGAGAAGAAGCAAATCAATGAGGTCGAGGAAGACGAAGCCCAAAGCCCGTGCAGTCCAAAATCGAGGTCCAAAATGACGGAGGCGTGATCGATATCTTGTCTAATCTAGGTCGGAGGTGAAGATGGAGCAGGAAGCGACGAGAGGATGACAAAACTAGTTCTTAGCTAGTCCCATGGTATGCGGGGGGCCTTGCTAAGACCGCTTAGCGCGGTCAGTCGAGGTGAGTCCTCCTTTTATCCTATTAATGTTAATCCTGCCGAGCAACAAACACCAGACTGGACTAATTTTCAATCTAGTAAAGTCTAGTGAAGGCTAAGAAGGACAAACAAACGCCCTTGTAAGTTCTTAACAATGACGGTAATAATATATTGTTTTTTTCAAAACGATAACTATAGTCAAAGTAAAAACCTAACATGTTTTTCAATTTTTGCTGGAACATGTTTGTTACTTATTCTAGGACAATAGATGGTAAATCTTCGAACGGCAATTGTTGTTTGTTTTTTTTATCATGACACCAAATCAATTGACAATATGTAAGAAGTTCAGCTTCTTCGCTTTAAGATACACAAGTCTCACATAAGATCATGGATGCAACAAGTTTTGATCTTAATCCATCTTCCAACTTGAACCAAACACCGAGATTTCAATTAAATAAACATTCATATGCTAAATTTTCCATGATTGCTAGATTCAGTTCAAATCCCGGTGTTTGGTTCAAATTGCAAGAATGAATTCACTTGATAGGAAGATCAAAACTTGTTGTTACCATGATCTTATGCGAGACTTGTGTGTCTTGAAAGCGAAAAAGGTGAACTTCTTACATATTGTCAACTATTTTGGAGCCACGATTAAAAAAAAAGCAACAATTACCAAAATTCGAAGAACTTGCCATCTATTGTCATGCACGTATGTTAGGTCCTTCTTTTACTTTGGCTACAGTTAGCGTTTAGGAAAAGACAATAGATTCACTGGTTAAAAACTTAAAATTGCCCAAGGGTATTGAAGCTAGAAAATATATGGAAAAGTTTAATGTCTCAAATAATATTGGTGACCTAGTGCACTTATAGTTTTTGAGCTTAAAGTTACTCGTTTTCCAAGTTACCATCATCTTTTGCTAATTTAATGTGCTTAGAGATTTTGGATTTACGTGGTAAAAAACGGTAAAAATCGATGAGAATTTGAGACATTTTTTCGAAGATGAAACTGTTGAGACACTTATATTTACCCTCCATATTGAATAGTGAATAGTTCAAACTGCCATTCCCTACTGAAGGCAATATTCAATCTCATAACTGAGTACACTTCTTGTTGAGTTAACTATTGTTAAAAAATTGGTAGTAACCCACAGTTTTTACCTTTAGACTGGTTAACAACGTAGTATCTGATGTGACCATCTTGAGTCTCTAAGTCGTCCTATATCAAAGTAGGGATATATTATGGTACATGGTATTCAGCTTTTCCAATTTATACATGTTGAATCTAGTTGGAAAATATATTAGAAATATTAGGACCTGTTTGGTATCCTATTTAAATTTTTTTTATCATTTCTCAAAACATGCCTTAAGAACATTTCTTGAAAACAGTTTTCTTTAAAACTCAAAAATTTGATTGGTTTGCGATTTAAACTAGATAAAGAGATCTAAAAAAGAGGGTCACAAAAGAGGGAGAAAGAGGAGAGAGGAGGAAAAAAAGTAAAAGATGATTGGAGGAAAAAGAAAGAAAAGAGAGGATCAGACGAGATAGAGTGAAAGAAGAGTGAGAGAAAGAACCGAGAGAATGAAGATAGCGGATTGGAGGAGAGACAAAAAAAGTATAAAAAAAAAAGGGAGAGAAAAAGAAGAAAAGAGAGAGAGAAAGAGAGATTTGGAGTAAGAGGGGAGGAGGGAGAGAAAAGAAAGGAGTAAATTTAAGTTTAAAAACTCCAAATACTCATTTTTTATGTTTTTAGAGAATAAACTATATTTTTGAGTTAGTCTTGAGTTCCGTTTCAAAAGTCCTGAGTTCAGTTTTTGAAAATAGTCCTAGTCCTACCAAACAAGTTTTTAAGGACTAAAACTTGAAAATTGTTTTTGAGTTTAAAAAGTTGGATTCAAGTAGAGTACCAAACAGGTCATCAGCTTCTCACAATTCAAAGCTAAAACTGAAAGGAGAAAACATTTTATCAACACAACTCGCCTTTCGGTCCCACAAGAGCCTTTCCTCATCTCAAATTTCTTCTTCATGGACACTTTATCAACACTTTATATTCCAGTTGCTTTATTTGTAATCTCCTAGTAGGCGTCGCGTTATGTTCAACATGACGTGGATTGTATTGTTAGTTAAGTGTTGACATTATGATAATGCAAATGACTTTCTAAAATGAGAAAATCCAATTTTTCATTTCGACGTGCACTTGTTAATTACTTGATTGCTAAACAGTACGCCTGAGCTTGCATTTTCAAAAGAAAATCGCCACTAAATATAGGCGCTTGTTGTCACCTTATTGCCAAATAGTACGCCTGAGTTTGCATTTGCGGCCAAGGGAGCTTCGATTCGCAGATGCGAAATCCTCTATGTGTGGTTGGGGCTTATCTTTAGTGTTTTTATCTAAAATTTAACATAGAAAACATGAATAAAAATGCTCTAACGGTGTAAATATAAGCAATAGTGCTTTAGGCCAACTGTGCATCGAACTTTTGTTTTGTGGTTTACATTTTGTCGTCAAATAATTACTCAAACTTTTGAATTTCAGGAATGACAAGTTAACAATCAATTTATTTTCACATTCTCTTAGTTTAAATATATCCTTTTATCAAACAATACGCGCCCTAATCTTGAAATTAAATGTTCTTTTCTTATCACATAGGGTTTAATTTTCTTTTTCTAGGTTACTAAATAGATTTCCAATGCCTACTGGGATTTGGAATAATATAGTTCCCAATTAATAGAATTTAGATTTGTTGCCTGCCGATGATATAAAAGCTCTGAACTTACTTACGCTTGTTATTTTGAAACTTTGGGTTGATATGAATTAACAAAACTCGAGACTGAGTTTGATTTCTACACAGAAGTGATCAGGAAGCTTGCTTGTTATTCAGAGAGGAGAGGAAAGGAGAGTAATACACAAACGACAATGATGGAGGCCTATGGCAATGGTGGCGGAGGAGGAGGACCGAATTGAAGAAGGGAATGGTTGGGTGCTAGGGGAAAACACTGACACGACAAGGCAATGTTTCTGGTTGGGTGCAAGGGGAAAACACTGACACTGACACGACCAGCCAATGAAAACATGAATGAATGCCACATTATTGTATTGGGAAGCAATGTTTCTGGTTGACGACCAGGCAAAAACAATGACACGAAAATGCAACATTGCTATCAATGTGCCAAAATTAGAATGCAAAAAATGTGTTTGGAAAAGGAAAGAAGAGAGACTGAGAGGTGGAGGAGGGTTGACAAGTGCTCAACATAGCATCAACTATTGATCTGGTTGCACATGACGAATTATTGGAATGGGAAGTTGTTTAAAATTAACGAGGGAGACTGAGAGGTGGAGGCTGTTTCGGTAGGTGATCTAGAATAAACAATGAGGAGGACAATGCGTAATTTTCTTTCGTTAAGGTCCTCATATGGTTAGATGAAGCGGGGCAGAATCTAGCTCATGTCGAGAATTATTTGTGTTTCGTTCACTCGTATGCTGTACATAAAAATTCATTTAGTTATTTAGGGAGTTATTGTGGTAAAGGGGTGGGAGCAAACCAGGTATGCAGCTGCATTCATACGGCATCTGGTGTATTGTTAAGAGAAAACCGATGTTTCTCCTAAGGGTGTTTATTTAACTCTCAAAGCATTTTTTGAGAATGTTTATATTTCTTCCAGACATGTCAGATAATTTTGTACCAGTTTCTGTTCCTGCCACAGGAAACCATATGCTCCTTAAATACTGTATGAAATGAAATCCCAAATTATTCCGAATTCGTACAACCAGATCTCAAGCAACATAAAAAATAATTGGAGAAAAAGTAGAGCTCCATCAACATTTGGGACAGAACTCCAATGTTATGTATTCTAATGAATTTTCAATATACAAGCAATGGAAAAGACCACAAAAAATCAAATCTGTTCCATAGGCAAGCAGGTTCCATCAGTCTTGCCTGCTAGCCAGTGGTACCACCTCTGCTAGAGGAGTTGACAAGGGCGTTGGGAGTGGAGACGTTCTGCAGACTGGACATGTAGGGTGCAACCGCAGCCACGGATCAACGCACTTAAGGTGGAAGACGTGTCTACAATCTGGCAGCAGCCGCAGCGTGTCGTTGCCCTTGTAATCCGCAAGACATATGGAGCAGCAGGAGGAAGTGGAGTCTTTCTTTTGGAGCTTGGCCTCGGAGTAGAGCATTTTTTGGTAGCTCTCAATCGTGTTGTCATCGAGTCCTATGTCCACAACAAAGTTTTGCGAAACGGGTGGATCAAGGGTGTCTTGAGCGATCCTGAGTCTGGGCGGGACAGCGGGCTGATGAGTTCCGGTGCAAAAGTAGGAGGCAAGGGTGATGGTTGTTATGAGGAAGAGGATGCCAACTGATACACCAATGGCATAACCGAAACGACCAATGTTGTTGGAGCCGAGGAAGCCGCCGGAGTCGCTTGTGGCGTTCATGATCTTTCCCTTTCTCTCTCTTCCTTGAGAAAAAAGGCAAGAAAAAAGAATTGAAAGGGAAGGAGGAGTTGCAGATGATAGAAGTGGTTTTGGTTTGGTCAGCCATGGCCTCAATGACAAGAGAATTGGTTATTTGGGAAAGGGTGATGCTAGAGAACAAATTTTAGTTTTTTTATATTTTTTGGTAAACCACATGATGTAACGGTTAATAATTACATTTACTTTTTAAATTAATAAAAGAAAATTCAATTATCAACCCTCACATTATTTTATTTGCAAATGATAATCTAAAAATTTGATCTCTTGCATTTTGGTTTAGATAATCAAGTTTTGCGAAGTCAACTATTAGACGAGAGAGAGGAGAGAGAGGCTTGGTGGAGTTATAATTAAGGGAAGATGCAGGAGGAGCTAAGTAGAGAGAGAGAGAGAGAGAGAGAGAGAGAGAGAGAGAGAGAGAGAGAGAGAGAGAGAGAGAGAGAGAGGTGAATGAGGCATTACATGTGAATTTCTTTGCGTTACATTATGGCTCATGTGTCGGAAATGATTCATTTCACCTAATCCTCCTCATCAAACAATCCGGTCTCTTGAAATTTGATCCAACAGTTAAAAACAGAGGCTCATTCTAAAAGTTATAATAACTTTAACTATTGAATTAAAGTTCAAGGGTCTGGATTGTTTGATGAGAAAGATTAGGTGGAAATGATCCGGAGAAGATCCCTTTCCTCATGTGTCTGCAAGTTTTGAAGGTCAATGTTTTGTGATATAATTTTTCAGGTTTAGCTGGTTGTCTCTTGTGAGTAACGTCTTTCTTTCCACTTGGCATCTCTATTTCTTATTTGAGCAATTCAATTAATCAATTATGGGGAATTGCTAGCTAGCTAAGTCGCCTCTCACCATTCATCATCTACTCGGTTGACGATCAAAACTGCCTAACTTCTCGACGTTTCATAAAATCGTTTCTGCTCAAAACTAACTACGTGGAAAATCGGATTAGCTATCTAATTGTTATCAAAAAAATAATCAATCTAAGTGCTTGGAATATCACACTAGTAAAACGACTAACCGATTTTCATTTTTCAATACAGTTGATTTTTTGCATGAATAGTTTCTTTCAACTTGAATTGTTTTGATTATCATATAACATTGCATGATGAAAAAGAAAAAGTGAATGCGGTAGTATTCTCCATTAATTAATTCTCTCTCTCAACTAAACCATTCATGTCCACATCTGATGGAATTCTCTTATATTTTTTTTCCCCATCTGTTTTGGCGTGCAAGGGCCGTTCCATGCATTGCAAGGTTAGTTGGTGTTTAGTGCTATTTTATAAAAAATGAGGTAAGCTGTTTTTCATGTGCCCACAGAAAACAAGATACATGCAGATAATAGAATATCCTCTCCAATCTCTATAGGTGAGATATGAATTGGAAGTTAGCATTTGTTTTTGGTAACATCCTTATTCTAAAAATAATTAAAAGAAATAATTATTTGGGGTTGTCTAGTTTTTTATATTTTGGTGATGCTACAGGTTATTCTATAAATTAGAGATTTTGGCTGTTAATTTTTTTGTCAAAGATGCAATGACCGTTAACGGTCAAATACTCTGATTCAAAGAAAAAGTTCTCTTCATGACTAGTCGATCTTCAAAATTTAACGTCGACAATTTTTTTGAAGTTCTACTCCATTTCTTCCATCAACATGCCATCTAATCCAGTCTAAATTTGATCATTATGTGTCATAACTGAAATAAGGTTCTTAATCAGTTTGGATTTTAAAATTTTGAGAAAGTTACATCCAATATTGTTGATTGGTGTCTAAACTGTGCAATTTTAATTCATCCAACGGTTCCAACCCAATGTGAATTGAATCAGAAATGAATTGGATGGTTGATGTTGTAACAAAAAGAAAAATAAAAGTATTACAAAATTATTAAGGAAGACTTGAAAAGAGACTTTAAGAAAAGATATGAAGTACATGGAGCTAACGAAAGACTTGGTGCAAAAATCGAGCGCAGTAACGTTCTAAAATTCATACAACGAATCACCCTTAATAGAATAAGACGTTATTATTGTTATTAAAATCACAAAGTTAATAGAAATAGACGTGTCATAAAGATTGGTGAAGTGAAAAAAAGTGTTTTGATTAGACCATCTCCATACCCAACATAGTTTCTGAAAGTTTTACAGACTTCATAAAATTTGTAATTTGATTTACCTACAAGCCGAAGAAGCATGGAACAAGTAGGTTTTTATGAGAAAATACGTTCCCTATCCAAACATGTCCTTAAAGCAGGCTTCATAAATAAATTCAGTTAACCTTCTTTATTTTGATTTACTGATTTTGGAAAGAAATTTTAAATCAAAAACAAATATACAATAAATACTCTTAATCACTTTATGGGTGACAATTGCTTGTGTTTAGGTTTTCTAGTTTATATTTATCTTGTGTCCATGCCAACTCATTGATTAATCAACACAAAAATGATATAAGAATTCATATTATTCACTAGAAAAATAAAAAGGTAATATACTTTTATAAGACTCCTTTGCAGTGTAAATAGCAACTTCTTAATTAAAACATTAGTTGAATATTGTCGGTTATATTTTTTGGTACAAGCGATAGTATATGAATAAAAAATTAAATTTATGACCTCAAAGTCTCATTCAAAGCTTTAGACAAAGGTGCTATATATTGATATATTGGGTCCTCATGGCATCTGATACACATTCTGACCAAGCAAATAAGTCAACTTCAAATTGTATTTGTTGTTCGTAGAGTGTGTTATGACCTGTGGCCGCTTGCCTAGTGGGGACGGCTCCTCTGTTGTGGATGAACGGGAAACCCGACTCTACGAACTCAAGGAAAGCTGCACAACAGTAGTAGGGGCATTAAGACCAAGCTTTTTGTAGTGCTAGCAGGAATGCAAGTGAAAGAATAAAGTGTAGAGATAAATGTTCATCATTATTTTTTTTTTCAACGATGTTCTTCATTACTTGAGTTACAAGCTTTTTACATGTTGATATGTTTTAATCTTTCTAATCATGTAAATATCAAGTCATATATTGTATCACATGATGGTGGCATTTGAAATGCCTCTGTGAGTTTTTTCAGCTCTAGAATGGTGGACTGCCATAGCGAAGTCACAAGCTGGTCCCTTATTTATTTATTTATTTTTAAAAAGTCCCATTTTTTTTTAAAATATCATAGGTTCAATCCCTAGCGCTTGTAAATCATACAATGGTGGTCAGATGGTGGCTGAAATGCCTATATGAGTCTTTCGGATCCCAAAAAAAAAAATCATATTCTTATGGATTTTGAGTCGTTTATTGTTTAAGGCCTTTGGGCCTTTACGAAAAGTTCTTTGCTTCTCAGGCCCAATTTCAATTTCTGTTTTCTCCAACTCCGCATCCTCTCTAGCTTAACGAAAAAACCTATTTTCTTTGTCCTCCAAAAATCCCCAAACGTCGGATCAATCATGGCGGTGTTTCTCCCATGGACGACGACCTTGATGATCGCGATCATGACGATGATGGCGGCGGTGCGTTTAATCGACGGTAGCAACAACAACAACGTGTACTCGCCAGAGCCGGTCCAGAGATTTTTGAGGCCCAGGGCGACACCAAAAAAGTGCCCTAACTTTATATAAGAAAATTATTTACTTTCACACGTAAGACATCAATAAAATTATATTTAGAAAAACACTTCAAACTCAACATTTTAGAAACATAGAAAGACTAATTTATTTTGTATCAAGAGAAGAAAACCAAAAACCTCCGGGCTTACAAGTAGATAGATGATGACTTGTGTTTTCCATCTGAACTTTGAAAGTATTTTTGTATAAATCATGAGGCGTTTTTTCTTATTTACTAACCTTGTCAATATGGGACTAAAAAAATAATGATGTTTTCGAGTCTTTAATTGATATGTATTAGTAATGAATAGTCACTAAATTAAAACCTTTTGATGACACATCATATAATTTTCAAATTTGCTCTAAAAATTTGGTCTACGTATTACTCATTGTTGAAGATTAGACTTGAATTGAAACAAATATTTAAAAACAACAATCCACATAGCTACTAGCTAATAATTAAAAATAAATTAACAACCAAACAAAAATTTGTAAAAATTGAAAATTGAAACAAATATTTAAAAATAACAATCCACATAGCTACTAGCTAATAACTAAAAATAAATTAACAACCAAACAAAAATTTGTAAAAATTGAAAAGAATAAACATGCACATAGCATTTCGAACGTAGAATCTTTTGTCAATTTTAAACAACAAAAATCATTGCTTCTAATTAAACTTCTTAATCCTTTAACCAAATTTTATAAATTCATACTCTTATGAAAAGAAATTTGTAAAAATTAGAAAGTAAATAAGCACAAGTGGTGTTTTGAACCCAAGACCTCCTCATTATTTTCAAATGATAAAACCACCACTTCTAGTTAAACTTCCATGTTATTGAACCAAATTTTATAAATTTATACTCTTATGAAAACATATATAAATATATCGCCCTAATAATTTTGGTGCCCCCGTTTTTTTAGGCCCCGGACGATCGCCCTGCCTACACTGGACCTGAGCCGGCCCTGTACTACTTGCCGTGCGCGGACACGACAGTGGAGAGGTCTGACGGGTTCACCTTCGGAATTGCCTTCGCCTCCAAGGAATCCTTCCAACGAAACGGCACCGTTCAGCTGTCTCCCTGCAACTCCAGACTCTCTCTCTCCTCCAATGCCCAGATCTCCGTTTTCCGACCCACAGTTGACGAGATCTCCCTCCTCTTCCGTCAACTCCTCCTGCTTCAATCCGGTTCGTTCTCTCTCTAATTTCCCTCTTTTTTCCTTTCAATTTTTAGCTTGAATTAGGGTTTTGATGTGCTTGTATATCAATTGCAATTTTTTTTTTTCATTTTTTACAATATTTGAAATCGAACATTTTGAACCTCCTCCAAGTATCAAACTTGTACTGGAAAAAGGATGGGTGCTCCAAAT